CACTTTCTCAGTGACTCGGTCTTCTGTCTTTCCCAGATATTCAACTTTGTCCACCCTATGGAATAAACGTGGGGACCCTCTACCTCACTACCAGCACCTCTATTACGGAAGGCAACAATCATTAAAGTGAAGATGGTCTTCAGAATGCAGCAAAGTCTTCGCCAACTACAAATCAAACAAGGACCTAATATCTAAGATATATAAAGAACTATAAAGCTAAATACTAAAAGAACCTGGTGTGGTGATGCACACCTTTAATTCCAGGACTCAGAAGACCAAGGCAGGCAGACCTCTGAGTTCGAGGCCAGCCTGGACTACATCCTAAATTCCAGAACAGACAACTACATAGTGAGCCTCTGTCTCCAGAAAACAAAACAACCAAAATCCCTGAAGACCAAGAAAACAGGAAACACTAAAATCCAGTCAATAAATGGGTTCTTAAACTGAATAAACAGTTCTCTAAAGAAAAACTAAAACTGGCCAGTAAACATTTTTTAAAAGTGTTCAGCATTCTTAGCCATTCAGAAAATACATTTTAAAACTAATTGATACTCTATGTCAGCCCAATCAGGATGGCTAGCATCAAGAAAACAAACAATAGCAAATACAAGGATTGGGGAAATAAAATCTTTACACACTGTTGGTGGTAGTGCAAACTGGTGTAGCCACTATGGAAGTCCGTATGGAGAATCTTCAAAACACTAAAACAAGACCTATATTATGACCCAGGTATATACCCTAAGTCAACATACTACAGAATGTTGTAGACTATTATTTTAACTAGGCAAAAATGTGTTATATTTGTTTCTGCTGCAGAACATTACTTATTGTGTGAAGTGGGTTACTTTTGTTTATGGTGCATTTGTTTAATTTTGAAAAGGCATGCTACATTTGTTTCACCTTGCCTGCTTAAGTCACCTGATTGGTCTAATAAAGAAAGAGCTGAACTGCCGAGAGCTAGACAGAGAAAGGATAGGCTGGGCTGGCAGGCAGAGAGAACAAATAGGAGGAGAAATCTAGGCTCAAAAAGAAAAAAAGGAATGAGAGAAGAAGAATGAGAGGAGAGAAAGAGGGAGGGGGACATGCCCAGGGCTAGAAGCCAGACAGCCATCAGCCAACCAGATACAGAGACAACAAGAAAGCAGGAAAGGTAAAAAGACCCAAGGCAAAAGGTAGCTAGAGAAACAGGTTCACTAAAGTTAAAGGAGCCAGCCAGAAAAGAGCTAAGCTAGGCTGAGCATTCAAAACTAATGAGTCTCTGTGTCATGATTTGGGAGCTGGTTGGTGGCCCAAAAGAAAAAGCCTGCTACAACAGAGATGCTTTCCCATTCAGTTTATTGCTGTATTGTTCTTGGTACCAAATACATGGAACCATTCTAGATGTTTAAGAAGAACTGGACAAAGAACATGTGGTACAGATACACAATGGAACTTTATTAAGGCCTAAAGAAAAATGAAATCACAGCATTTGTGAGGAAATAAATGAAACTGGAAATGATTGCATTAAGCAAAACAAGGCAGACTCAGACAAATACCACATTTCCCTCAGATGTGTTTACTCTAGAGTCTGTGTGTGTGTGTAAATTTGTATGTGTGTAGCTCATGAGAGTAGAAAGGGGATCCAGAAAGGGGAAGAAGAAATCTTAGGAGAGGGAATAAAAAGGTGATTATTGGAATATTGGAAAACATGTGATGAAAGTAGAAAGAGGGGCTGTTTGGGCAGAAAAGTCACCGGCAAGAAGACGACAGAGGGAGAATATAGTGTAGAGGGATCGGTTACACACACACACACACACACACACACACACACACACACACACAAAAAAAAAAAAAACAAAACCAATGCCATCTATCTACTTTGTATTACTATTTAAAAATAAATTTTAAAAAGAGTTAATGACGACTTCAAACACAGACAAAAATAGAACATCACAGAGAATGATAAGTATCCATGGCAGATAATAAATCTGAAGCATTAGAGGCCCAAACATCAAGGTTCATTCAATAAATACTTTCCAGCAATACTTGCTGTCTAGTAAGGATGCATCCAGTGTTGGGCCATTTAACCAATGCCCTATCCGGAATAAAAGCATTTGTCATATTTTCAGAAACCGCAATGGTCAATGCAGGTCTCACCAAGAAGCACTAGGACTTGAGGGAGCATGATGACTAGTGTTACTTGTCAATTTGAGAAAACTAAGCAGTACTCTTGGGGCATGTCTGGAGGGGATTATCTTGATTGTTTTCATTGAAGTGGGAAGACCCACCTACTGTGGGTGGCACCATTCCCTGGCTGGGATCCTGAACTGGACAAATGGGGAAGGGGAGCTGAGCAGCACCATGCAGTCCTAATTCTCGGTCTCCTGATTGTGGATATGCTATGACAGTTGCTTCAGCCTCCTATGCTCCGACTTCTTCACCATGAAGGAGTGTATTATTGAACTGATCCGGAATAAAGTCTCTCTCCCTTAAACTGCTTCTGTCAGCATATTTTATCACAGCAACAAGAAAACAGTCTAACACAGGGAGGGAAGGAAGGAAGATGTGCTGATGTCCTGGAAAAAAGCATTTAAAACAAAGGGAACAAGTTGAGCAAAGATGGTAGAGAGGAACATGGGTATTTTCAAAACCAGACAGCCAGCCTGCTGGAGTGGAGACAGCAAGGTGAAAGGAGTAGGAGAGGAAGCCAAGGATCAATTAAGAATGGAGGTAGGGGAAGAGTCGGGCAGATCTCTGTGAGTTCAAGGCCAGCCTGGTCTAGAAAGTGAGTTCCAGGACAGCCAGGGCTTTTAGAGGACATCCAGGGCTGTTACACAGAGAAACCCTGTCTCAAAAACAAAACAAAAAGCCACAGTTCTATGTAACTCTTGGGCATATACCTAAAGGATGCTTAATCATACCACAAGGATACTTGCCCAACTATGTTCATAGCAGCATTATTCATAATAGCCAGAACCTGGAAACAACCTACATGTCCCTCAACCGAAGAATTGATTAAGAAAATGTGGTACATATACACAATGGAGTATTACTCAGCAGTGAAAAACAATAACATCATAAAATTGCAGGAAAATGGATGGACTAGAAAAAAAATCATTCTGAGTAAGGTAACCAAGACCCAGAAAGACAAACACAATATGTACTCACTTATAAGTGGATATTAGGAGTAAAGCACAGGATAACCAACCTACAATCCATAGCCCAAGAGAAACTAGATCACAAAGAAGGCCCAAACAGGGATGAATGGATTTCCATGGGAAGGAGAAATAGAAGAGATCTCCTGGGTAAACTGGGGGTGAGTGTAGCATGAATCTTAAAAGTTCTTATTAATAAAACCAAATCCGAGGCCAGATACTGGGGTGAAAGCTGGAAGATCAGAGAAGCAGAACACACCACAGTCACCTCACCTCGCCAACAGTTGATCCTGTTTCCTCAGACTGGAAGCCTCTGAGTCCTTATCCAGGTGGATCTTAGCTGAACTGCTGCTCAAATGCCTAAAAGCTTAACCAGCCTAGTTCCTGGTCCTCATGCCTTATATACCTTTCTGCTTTCTGCCATCACTTCCTGAGATTAAAGGTGTGAGTCACCATGCCTGGCTGTTTCCAGTGTGGCTTTGAACTCACAGAGATCCAGGTGGATCTCTGCCTCTGGAATGCTAGGATTAAAGGTGTGTATGCCACCATTTTCTGGCCTCTATATCTAATGGCTGTTCTGTTCTCTGACCCCAGATAAGTTTATTAGGGTGCACAATATTTTGGGGAACACAATACCACCACAGGTGGGGGTGGAGAGGGATTAGGGAATGGGAACTTGAGGGTGTGGGTTGAGTAGGCTGAGTGCAGGAGGTGGGCTGGGGATGGGATGAAGGGGGAGAGTAGAAACAGACATCTTGATGCTGGGGGGAGGGGGGCATTTTTGGGTTAGAGAGAAACCTGGTGCCAGTGAAACTCCCAGGAACCCACAACCTAGGTCCGTCCCATGCAGGCTCCCTAGCTGTTGATCTAGAGTCTGTGAGCTTCCACGAGCTTGGGTCAGCTGTCTCTGTAGTTTTCCTGTCATGGTCTTGACCCCCTTGCTCATATAATCCCTCCTCCCTCTCTTCAGCTGGACTCCAGGAGCTCTGCCCAGTGCTTGGCTGTGGATCTCTGTATCTACTTCTGTCAGTTACTGGATGAAGGGTCTATGATGACAATTAGGGTAGTCACCAATCTGATTACTGAGGAAAGCCAGTTCAGGCACCCTCTCCACTATTGCTAGGGGTCTTAGCTGGGGTCATCCTTGTAGATTCCTGGGGATTTCCCTAGCACTAGGTTTCTCCCGAACCCCATAATTGCTCCTTCTATCAAGATATCTTTCATTGCTCCCCCTCTCCGTCCCTTCCCCAACTCCGCCATTTCATCCCTCATGTTTCCAGCTGCCATCTCCTCCCCTTGCCCCCCCCCTCCGTCAGTTTACCCAGGAGATGACAAGACTCTCTTGATTCAAGATCCTTAGTACTTGCCCCAATACAGAACTCCTGGCTAAGTCATTGTGCTGACCTGCAAGGGTGTGCATGGGGATAGGGATGGGGAATATGATGCAACCCCCACATTATTAGCAACTCTGACTCCAACCCAGATCAAAGTTAAGCATCCATAACATCATGTAACTAATATATCAAACCTAGGAATTAACCCTATGCAACTGCTACTCCATCCGTCCACAGAAATTACTACATAGCCTTGAATGTCTCCCAGACCCATTCTAACAGTCCCACTGGTGGATGGGTTTGCCTCATACTTTCTTGACCCTTCCTATTCTGACTCAGCTTCTTCTCCCTGCCTTCCTATTTCTTGCCTGGCAGAAGCCACCACGGTGGCCGCCCTACCGGGCATGCTCAGTGCTCTGGCCTGGCCTGGACTCCCTGTCTAGCAGTAACTCAGCCTGCAGAGCCGGGTCCCTTCAGTGCCCAGGTCCCTTTAAATCCATCCGCCTGGTTGCTAGGCAACAGTGCGGCCCGCGCTGGAGCTGCACTGCAGAGGCTCTACCCCGGCCAGCCTGGCCGGTCGCGGTCGCGGTGGCTGGCACTGAACAAGGGGCTGCCGCCTGCCGGTGGTGGCTGGCTTCGGGGAAGAGCGGACAGGGCTCTTCAGACCGCACCCGCGCTTCCAGGTATGTCTGTGGAAGGGACATCACGGGCTCCCCTGGCGCGCCCCTCGTTACCCCCGACTCGCCCAGTAAGAAGGCGGAAAACCAAGGAAGTCCCGGCAGCAGGTTTTTGTTTTTTGTTTTTGTTTTTTCTCTTGAGAGCCCCAGGCTGGAGCTGGCGAGTGTTTGAAAAGAAACGGGGCGTGGGAAAGGGGTTGTGGAAGGAGAAGTGGGGTCAAGCTTGTCCATTCACCCGCCCGATACAGGATCGGGACTGGGGAGGTGAAAAGTATCACCTGCAGTGGGGGCTCTAGCAACATCTCGTTCCCCGCCACCTTCTTTTCCACAGAAGCAAGGCTGGCAGGAGTTTCAGTTAACCATTCACAGAGAAAAAAATCCCCAAACTATGCATACAAAGATACAGCTTTATAGTAAGAATGTGACTCCCATAGTAATAAAGTCAGAGCCTTGGGAACTCAGGTGACTCCGTATCTCTTCTTCAAGAAGGAATAATTTCACACTAATAACAAAGAGTTGGGGTTGATAACCATACACGGTACCCAGTTTTCAATGGAACATTGTTTCTCTCACCATTCTGACCAAACAATAGAAAAGATTCTATCCGAGGAAGTGGACACTTGACCCATATGTTAGGGCCCTGAAAGATGAAAGCAGAAAACGAGAGCACTTCTCTTTGTCCTGTTTTTATAATTTAACTGTACTCTAAGGGAGGGAAGCCAGGACTAGGCTCCAGCCCTTTGCTAATGTGGCTCTTTATGCTCAGCAAGCCTCTGTCTCCACCACTGGTGGTTCATTTCTTCAATACACACAAAGGGTAGAGAGACACTGTGTTGAATACAGTTTCACCATGATTCTTGTCCCACTTGCCATGTGTATTGCCTGAGGAACAGTTGGGAAAATGTACTGGAAACTTAAAAAGAGGAATTGCTTCTGTCTGGTCTGCCACAGTGCAGGTAGACCCATGGACATTGTAGGTGTAGCATGTGTGACATTAGTACACACTTCAGAGAGGAACATGAGTTTGAACATTCTTTAAATTATATTTCCTGATTACACTTCAGGGGGATGGGGGTGGACTGTTTTTTTTCCAGCTCAAGTTGGAGGAGACCAGTGACATCCGGTCTAAAGACCTTGGACCTCAGGAAGGGTAAGTACAGTTGTTCTGGCTGTTATCTCATCCTGGGAGTTTGGAAGCCCAGAGTCTTGCCCAACATAAACCTTCAACTTTGTAACAGAATCATCAGTCTTCATTGTCAGTATGCTTTCAAGATAGCCTCATAAACATTCAAAAGAAAAGTGCCCTGAAGACTTTAGCTAAGCCAAATAAACTTCAAGGGAAAAAATTAAAGCCCTTGCCCTAAAATGTCATCCAAAGCACTTTGTAAGCGAGAGAGGAGATTATGGATTTTCTTTTCTTCTTCTTAAAAAAACAAAAACCATTCAATTAAAATCAAGTGTTACCAGATACCAGTGTGACCATTACACTTGGCTCTGGCTCGGAATGCTCGGTCATGCTACCAGAAAAAGGAATATGACAGATTTGAAGTGGAAAAATGAATTTACTCATAGTTTTGGAGAGAAAAGTCTCAGCCTGTCCTACAGCCAGTGTTACAACTTCTAAGAACACCAGGAAATGCGCATATGTAGATTTAGCTGTAAGCCCCACTTCCTGGGATTGGGACAGAGTCCTGGTGTTAGGGATCACAGTTCTTGAGGGGGGCCATTTGCTATTAACCAGCTGTGAAGCAGGTTCATCACCTCTGTTTTAATCCCTTACGACTGCCTCCCAGAAGGCAGTCTTCCTGGGTTCTGAAAGACAAGCACTTTGCCTGCCCCAACCTGCCCCAATCCTTTCCGTCTCCCCTCGGTTTGTCTAGCAGAACACACTGATCCACTTGGGTTGCACACAGTTCCCTTGGTTCTTCATTTGGTTATTAAGTGGTCTTCTACAACTTAGTGGAAGAGGGTGGGAAACCAGAAGGTATCCTAGAGGAACCAGGTCAGAATTCTCTGTTTCCTGCCCGGAAGCAATGAAAATAGAAAAAAAGTTGCAAGCTTACTCCCCGCCCCCCAGACAAAGTCTCACTCTTTAGCCCTGACTGGCCTTAACTCACTCTGTAGACCAGGCTGGCTTCAAACTCACAGCCATCCACCTGCCTCTGCCTCCCGAGTGCTGGAATTAAAGACATGCACTACCATGCCTAGCGGAGTAAGATATTTTCTTTTCCTATTTTGGCTGAGCGGTTTTTCTGAGGCTCAAAAGAGTGGAAACCACCAAGAATAAAGAGAGGGTGTTCTTTGTTTTCACTTAATGGTTCCTAAGGGATGACTGAAAGCCAGACTTTTTTTTAAAAAAAAAAAAAGATTTATGCATTTTATGTGTATGGGTATTTTGCCTGCTTGCACAGATAGATGCACCACATGAATACCTAGTACAATGGATTCCCTGCAACTGGAGTTCCAGACAGTTGTGAGCGGCTGCCATGTGGGTGTTGGACATTGAACCTAGGTCCTATAGAGGAGCAGCCAGTGCTCTTAACTGCTGAGCCATCTCTCCAGCCTGGAAAGCCAGCTGAGGGAAGTTGAATGGCTGAGTAGTGACTGATGTTGCTCAATATGGGTGTGTGTGGGGGGGGTGAACTTTACCAACCATCACTCCACGTTTACATAGCTTGAGAAAGAGGATCTTTGTGAGATGGGCAAAAGCCCCTGACATCCTCCCATAACTGCTTCCCAGTCACTGCCTACCTATGACACGACAAATAGCTGCACTTACAAACAGACCTGTATTTATACAAAGAGAGTTCTGAACATTTGAAACCATACTCTAATGTAAATGGAATAACACAACAGAGGGAAAAAAACCATATTGGGGTTGCATCAGGAACTTTCCCAAAGCATATGATTTCAAATACAAATATTTTAGAAAACAAATAATTAAGTTTCCTGTACACCTTAATGGAAGATTCCTCCCCAGGGCCTGACCTTGAACATGAAAGAGAAGTGGTTTTATTGATTTCTTCTTTCCCAATAAACAGTAGCATATCATTTTCTGAAGCTGTATGAAGATAGATACACTTTCACCTAGTATTTTCAGTACAATGATAAATCTGAGAGTCTTAATAAATAATCACTCTTGGATTTGTCCTCAACATTAATATTATGTTACATCACATTACATTATTAATTCACTCTCAATTTGTTTAATCAGTGATTCCAAAACACTTTTTTGTAGCTTTGTTTGTTTGTTTGTTTTTCAAGACAGGGTTTCTCTGTGTAACAGCCCTGGCTGTTCTGCAACTTGCTCTGTAGCCCAGGCTGGCCTTGAACTCACAGAGATCTGCCTGGCTCTGCCTCCCAAGTGGTGGGATTAAAGGTGTTCGCCACCACCATTCTTGACTTCAAGCCTCTCTAGAAGCCCCCCTCCTCCCCCTCCTCCTCTTAGTTCACTGAAGATATCTTTGACACAAATCTTAAGCACAGAGGTTAACAGAAAGAGAGGTGCTCAGGAAACAAATAAGACACACCCGACATTCGTTGCGAACCATTTTGAAAAAACATACCAAGCATGAGGCAGGCCATCTCTTACTGCCCCCAAATGCCCCACGACTTTGCCACCACAAAATAGTTCCCAGAGGATCAATGGCGATGTTTTCAGGTAGAGCAAGTGTAGCTCGAGTTGTATAACTAGCTGTGCCGCCCCGAGGCCTTCCAGGGAAAAATTTTCCTAGACGCCCTCTGATGTTATTTTTGTCGTGACTTTATTTTTCTCCTGTCTGTGTTCTGACTGGATTCTTTGAATTTTTCATTTCTCTGGGGTCCTTCGAGGTTCAATGTATAGTGGAGTGGACACAAGAACACATGTGCACACTGCCCAGCTGAAAGGGCCTGTGTGTGCTTTCAGTAACGGCTTCCCGAGTCTGCTGAGGCAAATCACCTAGTGAGGTTGATTGAGGACAAAATGGCTGCCCGGCCAAGGTGGGGGGATGTCATTATTTTTCAAGCATATCCCTTGTCCTTGCTCCTAGTCCTCATGCCATACTTGCTCTGCCCGAGAAAGCAAACTGCGCTGAAGAAGGTGCTGCTGACAGATCTCAGGCCTCCTTGGAGCGTTGCCACGCTCTAACTAAATGTGGGAACAAGTCCTTAAAGGCTGTCTTGCCAGTGAAAGAGAAAAGGGAGCATCTGGGAGACCCCTTGACCCTGCCTGGGGAAGCCTGGGGAGAGGAATGCCAGGAGCCTTTCAGACATTTCTTTCTCTCTTCCCCTCCCCCCGTCAGCTTTTCTCTCTCCTCCTGTGGCTCCTTAAAGGATCCCCTAAGCTCTGCGAACAATGGAATCTGTTCTTTCAGTCTGTGGAATGACACCTAGCAGATGAAGAAAGGGGGTTTTCAGAACAAGCACTGACCTGGGAGACAGGAGCTCAGTTTCATGACTACAGCCTATGAGGCCTTGCTCCAGTCCCTCTGGATCTCTGAGCCAGTTGTTTAATCAATGGACTCTTCCAGCTTCTTGGAGAAAGGATTGCATTTCTAGGATTCATTGAAAGGCAAATCCTTTCAGCCACTCAGGAAATTCTACAGAGGTGTGGGGAAGAAAGACAGGGTAAAAATGAAAAAGTATGTGTGCGCATGCATCTGAGGAGCAACATTAAAATTATTTTTTGTAATTATTTTTTTTTATTTTATGTGAATTTGTGTTTTGCTTGCATATAAGTCTGTGTGAGGGTGTCGGATCCCATGGAACTGCAGGTACAGACAGTTGTGATCTGCCACATGGTTGCTGGGAATTGAATCCCCGGTCCTCTGGAAGAGCAGTCAGTACCTTAGCCACTGAGCCCAGCCCCCAAACGTGAAAATTATTAATGGAGAGTTTTCTACATGAATTCTCTCTGTACCCAGACCTCTGCCTTTGATGGCCCTCCTTGCATGGCCAGGTATAGAGTGGCCTCACCGTAACTGTGAGCAGTTTGTTTTACAGAATTCTCTGGTAAAGTTTTGATTTTTGAAAAGATGTGGCACACAAGCTCAGCCTGCTCTCTTTCCTCTTGCATCCATTCCTTTCCCTCATACTTGTTTGACTCATCTGTGTTCGTAGTTGTGAAAAGGAGAGAAACCAAGATTATGATTGATCATCATTCCATTCCAGGACAGGCATGTCATAGATGCTTCTGGAGTGTGACTGAGAGACTAAGAAAAGTCAGAAAAGACTATTTCTAGAGGAAAAACCATGATTCTGGCAAGTGTACACCATGCATTTCTTGTCACTACGGTCTGGGAATGGAACCCAGGATTTGTTACATACTAAAGAAACACTCTGTCACTGAGCTACACTCCAGTCCTGATTAACTAAACTTTTTTTTTGGCTTGTTTGTGTTTTGGATGGGGGAATCTCATGAAAGTCAGGCTGATCTCAAACTCTATGTGTAGCCAAGACTGGCCTTGAACTCCGACTCCTTCTGCCTACTCCTCCTCGGAATGCTGGAGCTGTAAAGCTGGTGCTGCCTCCCACACTGGCGGGGATTGCCCTCCAGTATTTCTAAACTTTGGATGCTGGTTGAGATTTTGTAGGCTATGTTTTCACCTGCAACTGATACTCAGAGTCTGTATATGAAAAAAAAACCACTTTCAATAGCATTAATATTTTCAATTGTTGACATGGCAGCTCATTATAAAACTGCTCTCCGAACAGAGAGAATTCTGTACACTTGGCAAAGCCTAAGACTGGACTAGCAGGAATTTATAGGTCAAGGCAGAAGGGCATTTGGCAGAGTTAGTCATGAGGAAGTCTGCCTGGTACACTTTACCAGAAGCAGCTCATGTTTCATCAAGTCTTGAAGTTTCAGTCACTTTAAGGAATGAACAAACAGTAGTTCGATCTGAGAGAACGAGACACAGAGTAAGACACATTGAAGGAAACGGTATTAACAATATTTGCCTAGTAATTTCAAAAGAACCTCTTGATTATTTTAAAGCAGTTTGTTTTCATGCACACAGTTGCCTTCCCGTAGAACTGTCTACAAAGAAGAACTAAATGCATTCATTTACTGATTCCATTTCATGGGATGGAAGAATATTACAGGTGCAGGTGTTCGCAGACCTTAGCTGCGTTAGCCCCTTTCATCTATACAAAAGGGAAAGAAGGTCCGAGTCACTCGATAGTTTGAGGAGAGATGGCCCTCAACTGTTCAGGCACCTTCAGGTGCAAACAAGCATTCTTAGTTCTTTCTACTTCGTGGGCGACTCATGAAGATCGTTTAGCTTGGTTTTAAATTTTGTTTTTCAGGAAATCAGAGGTGCCCAACAAAATGGATGCTAGACGAAAGCAGTGGAAAGACAATACGTTCACTCCTTTTTTAAATGAGCCTGATGTTCTAGAAGAGGCTGCTCCTCTTCAGTCTTTCTCTGAAGAAACACCTGCAGACAAATCCAGGAGAATGGGGAGAATTTTTAACTTTGCCAGTAAAAAGGTTCAAGAAGGGAACACATTTAGGAGCAAAGACTGTTATTCCCCAATAGTGGAAAGAGAACAAGACCCCAATTTAGGAGAGAGAAGGATGAACGCGTCAAAGAACGTGGCAAAGACAGATTCTGCCTTCTTGGACTTGCTTAATTTGGGTGGTGCAACCAAGGCAAGTTCCTACAGAAGGGAGAGCGCCTCCGCGTGGAGTAGAAAGGAATTGCCGACTGCCGTACAAGGCACCAGGAAGAAATGGTCAGAAGAAATGCCACCAAAACTCCGTTTGCACCTCCTGAACGAAGAGCTGGGAGAACTTAACCTGAAATGCAGGGAGATTGAAGAGGACTTTGAAAACGCCGAAAAAGAACTTTTGAACTCTCGAAAGGAAGCCTCAATGAAATCTGTCAATCTTCAAGAACCAGGGACAGCTGCTTCAAAGAATGACTGGGAACTGCAAGCTTTAAAAAATGACCTGTCTGAAAAAGTGACAAACGTAAAAAACTTAACCGAAGAGCTCCAGCAAGCCAAAGAACTTATGTACAGGTTGGATCTAGAGAACAGAAACTTGAAAGACACTCTCTTGAAACTGAAGCAACAAACTGAACTCAGTACTGCACTCCTCAGAGAAGAGATGAGATTGTTTTACGAGCTGGAAATGGAAAAGATCCGCTTAGAGCTGGGTGCCATCAAGAATGAGCTGAGAGCTGAGAAGACCCTGCGAGCAAAGAACAGCAGAGCCCTGGAGTTGCTTGGAAGACAACTTGCTTCCGTGATAAGGTCATCGCGTACCGCTGACCACTTCACTGGGAATGGTTTTTAAACTCAAGGGGGAAAAAGCCTTTCACTGGGCAAGTCATTGAGCCAAGTCGATGTTTATTGTACCACCCATTTGTGTACTGCTAAAATGTATTTGATAGCTTGCAATCTTTATGGTGAATCAGAATACCTACAGGTGAATCAAAATACCAACAGATCGTGCAGATGTTAACTTTGAAGCATCTGTTTTCTCTTTTTGATGAAGTCATTGTCAAGAATCTGAACTGATACTTCTAAAATCTCTTTTATATGGGTGCATATATAATATCACTAAGACAAAACAACAATAAAAAACCCAAACTGATTCACCAGATCACGGATGAATCCGAATCAGCAGCATTGTGTGATCTTGTTAGCCATGTCCTTGGCACATCAATGTTCTCCCATCTGTGGTAATCAATGTGAACAATAAAAATCTTGTTTACATGTATAAGCATAGAATATGCCTGTGACTTTTGTAGTTGCCTGGTCAAACAGCAGGACAAATATGTATCTATTTTCTTTGGGGTCTAACCTTGATTAGGTACATGGAAACATCTGGGGAACACAATCTCCCCTGCTGATTTCCCCCATGCTTTTTCCTTGGACTTTGACACAGTTCTCATAGACTACAGGATGATTTAGATCACTGTTCTGACCTTTGCTAGAATCAGGGCCTGTCAGCCATGGCTCTTGCATTTTCTTATGTTGGCCAGCGAGAGGCACTTAGTTTACACAGTTCTCCCAGAGTTCAGCCAGGGGAATTTTCCAAGTCCTTAACTGGCTTCTATCATTGAGCTAGGACTGCTGTGAAAGGTGTTAGATGTCATCTGGACAAACGTCTAGTGTGCTGGCTTGATTTAGGTCACATCACCCACCCCTGTAAGGGGCCCAGAAAATGATCATTTGCTTTGTATCTACAAAGAGTGAAAATATGCTGCCTCTGTCCTTTGGTGGAAATGATGGCTCAGTGATTCTCTGAGTTGGTGGGTGTTGACCATCAAGATTTCTGGTAGTCAGACACATACTTGCATGGCATTTTTTGAGATTATAATATAACTACATCATTTCTTCCTACCCTTTCGTCCTTCTAAACGCACTCACATCACATACCCTCCTTGTTCTCTCTCAAATTTATGGCCTCTTTTTTTTATTAATTGTTACATACCCATATGTGTATGCATATGCAGGCATATTCCTAAATATAACCTGGTTAGTCTGTATAATGCTACTTGGATGTATGTTTTCGGCACATTTGGTATTGGATAACCAGGTGGAGTGCTCTTCCTTGGGAAAGACTATTTCTCCCACTTTGAGCATTCCTTAGTTTGCTGTAGTTCTTTGTGTAGAGCTGAGGCCTCCTGGGATTTTCCTAGTCCATTTGGCATGTCTATTCCTGTTGTCCTTGTTCAGATCATGTTTAGGCAACCATGTTGGTGAGACTTTATGGGTATAGATTCTAACATTACTAGGAGACACAGTCTCACAGCAAACTCCCTAATCCTCTGGCTCTTACAATTTTTTTCTGTCCCCTCATTTTTGAAAAATGTTTCCTGACCTTATGTTCAGTTGTTGTTTTCTAGATGTATCCATTGGGACTGTGCTCCATAACTCTGCATTTGGGTTGTGAGGAGAACACTTATCTGTGGTGTAAGGACAAACATTTAGAATGTAGTTAAGAGCTATGCTGGTTTAGTACAGGAGTGGTTGTAGGTTCTCCTCGAAGATCTGTGACTTCACTAGCCCTGGTATTTTTTAATGTGGTGTATATAAACAAGGGAATCACTAATTATTTTAATAATTTGATTTGTATGGGTGGTTTGCATGCACAAATATCTGAACACCACATATGTACCTGGTGCCTATGAAGGCCGGAAGAAGGCCTCAAATCCCCTGGAACTGGATTATACATAGGTGTGAGCCACCATGTGGGTGCTGGGGAGCAAACCCAGGTCCTCTGCAAGAGCAGCCAGTGCTTTTAACATCAGAGCCATCTCTCTAGCCTCTTATTGGGGTATTTCTAACCCCAAATGAGTCAGATGTAATCACAGACTACGAAAGTGGGGTACAGTCAGAAAGGTGGAAAAATGCCCAAACTGGCAGTCAGGATACTCTGATTTCCCAGTGACTATGACTTTCTTCTAGATCTAAAAGCCCTAACATAAAATGAGAGAACAGATCTGCCGTAAAGATGCTCTTCAGAGCTGACTATGGTGGCATGGGCCTGTAGTTCCATCACTCCAGAAGCAAGAACAGAAGGATCACTGCAGCCTAGAGGTCCAAGGTTAGCCTGAGCATCATTTATGAAACGTTCTGTTCAGGTTTTAGGTAGCGACTTCAACTTAATGATTTTTATTTGGAAGTGTAACTAGCTGTACCCACGATGATGTGAAATTGCTGTGGCATCAGGCACATTCACCTCTAATATTTTGGGGCACCTATACTTCACACCTGCCTTTCCAAGGAACTGTATGCAGGATCTTTATGTTATTTCAACATCTCCAAATATTGTGCCAGTAAATGTGTGGAACAAGTAAGGGAGGTTACTACTCCTTTCTCTCTCTCTCTCTCTCTCTCTCTCTCTCTCTCTCTCTCTCTCTCTCTCTCTCTCTCTCTTCATTAAGACAAGGGAAGGTAATGAATGGAAGCAAACTAAGCTGACTCAGGAGCTAGGCAAGGTTGCCTGGCCAGGGAAGACAGGATTCGATTGGAAGGTTAATGTTGGTGCCTTTCCACTTAGCCCTGAGAACGGGAATGCGGGCACTGGGAGCCTGCTTCAAAGCGAAGATGCTTGTGGCTTTAGCGGTCACTCTGACTTCCCACCAAGGGTCTACCCACAGAAGGAAACTAACTAGGAGTTCTCTGCCCTGCTTGAATCTATTTATTCTTCAACACACCCTTAAAAATTCTTCATTTGGGGGTTGGGGATTTAGCTAGGTGGTAGAGCGCTTGCTTAGCGACGCTCTGGGTTCAGTCCTCAGCTCCAGAAAATTTTTTTTTCATTTGGCTGGGCGGTGGTGGCGTACACCTTTAATCCCAGCACTCAGGAGGCAGAGCCAGGCGGATCTCTGTGAGTTCGAGGCCAGTGTGGTCTACAAAGTGAGATCCAGGACAGGCACCAAAATAACACCGAGAAACCCTGCCTCGAAAAACCAAAAAAAAAAAAAAAATCTTCATTTGTCTTTGCCCTATGAAGGTGCTCATCCTTAATGATAGCATGCTGAGCTGTCACACTGTGCTCTACCACCAAGCTCAACCATTCAACGTGATTCTGTTTTTGTCTATGTGGTGCTGGGAATCCAATCTTTAGGCTAGGGCAAGCACACTACCATTGAGTTATACTCCCACTGTTAATATGTTTCTTTTCCTTCCTTCCTCCCTCCCTCCCTCCCTCCCT